AAAAAAAAAAAAAAAAAAAAAAGAAGAAGAAGAAAAAGTTTAAAAAAGAGGAATTGGTTAAAAATGTTTATTTTCACTTTCGGTACTCGCTGGCCGTCTAGGGGCATCGGCAAATGGCCACTCAATGAAAGTTGGCAGCTCAGTAGAGATTCGCCATAGATTAGGATAATCTTTATCAGAAGCAACACTTTACTTTGAAACAAACACTCGACTTTACTGCTAGCAACAATAGCAACGTCCAGTATAATAAGCTGCCTGATTCATTACTTGGAGTTTTTTCTTCAGAGACCTACTCAGGCCACTTAAGGCATGACTACCCAATTAAATATGCATATTTTGTTCAATGCTATTTAGAACGGTTTGCTTCCTTCAGTGACCCTGAAAAGTGAACTAAAAATGTGGCTCAACCTAAAAAAGAAAACATGAAACGTGATTTCAAATAACACGTGACATTGCTTCGTCAGTGACATCACAAAACAAGTTTTCCTAAACGGGGAAGGGTTGCAAACCTTAATCTTATAAATTTTCACCTCCAAAATGTTACATAAACAGTGCAAATCGTAAATTCGCCTGAGTACGTGTGAACCAGCCGGTTGGACTGGCTAAATAATAAATTAGGTGTTTAAAGTTTCAACTGATATTTCTCTCAAACGTCTAACGTTATCGTTTCCTTAACTCTGTCTTTATGTAATACGATTTATTTAATACAGTTAACTCTTAGTTGTTCGTCTGTCCGATCCCCCCTGGGTTAGTATTTGCTACCTGCACTGCGGGTCAGTGCAATCAAGGTAAGTTAATTCGTTCAATAAAGTTATGTTGTTGTTCTTGTTCTTGGTATATACATTTCACAAGTTTTGCACAAAAGTCAGACAGTACTCTAAAACGATCTAGAGCAAATGAACTTCAGGGGTATATCCGCCCCGGGAACCGTCAACAGGCTGGCAAATAATGAGGGAGGGGCTCTTGATGGGGGAGCTGAGGGGGTGGGGGATGGGGAAAGGCAGCAGGTTATGTTGTGGGATATATCTATACCTGAACAGCTGAAGGATACAATTTCTAGGTATGATTCGTTGGCAATATGAAGGCGTTATAAGGTGTTTCAAGAAAGTGGAAATGAAAGTATCACCATGTCAAAAAGATGGCACTCGTTGACCAACTAAGCTAGGTGACCTTAAGAGAGGTGAAATACACCAAAACCAGCCAACTGGAAAGTCTATAAACTGACCATGTCCGCTCTGAAAAAAGGTCGGTACTTTTTTTGCATGGGAAGCAAATTCCGGGAATTAATAACGAGGAGACTGACCCTTAGAAGGAGTTTGAGCTGTTTTCTTTGGATAAAGCAAAAATCATCTTGATTGTTAAACTTAGGTCTCCTTCCTTACAAAAAAGTAGTAATAATAAAAATAAAATAAAATAAGCACGACACGTTTCCCTTGCTGAAAAGACTCTAAATACCATTTCATGTACTAACGAAAGTCCCTCATTCATTTCAAAGTTTAAATTTTCAGCGCAATTTCTTGTTGTCAAAGTTCATGTATTCGTGTGTAATAATTGTAACGTAGCGTTGCGTCAGTTGTCGACCCACTGATTATCTCGAATTGTACTGCCTGAGTTATTGCCATTTGTTCCGCTGAAGAATTAACGCTGCCCCGGAACCAAAGTTTAGCCCTGTTTAATCTACTGCTGTATCAGTTCAAGTTAGTGAATTGATCCCGGTCCAACAAAGAAGTGACGGCTCTTTCAATCCCGCAAACGAGTTGCCATTTGAGTCTAGTTTGCCCAGTTTTATCGAGAGTTAAGGTGACTCGACCCAGTTTTTTTTAGGGGGTACCAACTTACTTTGAAGCTCTCTGGTATCCCCACCTTTACTTTTATCGTAAGTATAACACATAGAATGGATAACATATAGATCAATCTACAATATAACATAAAATTTTTGGCGATCGGAGTAAATGTCACGTGGTTATAATGCCACGCCCCTTTGAGGTCTGAGTCGAAAATC